ATGTAGGCTTGGGAAGCGGTGAACAACAGAAAAAGTGAGCATGCAATAAAGCCAGTCCACCACAGCACCGGGTTTGCCAAGCTGCAGCGCCCCCTGTGAATGTGTAAGGCTGCGGAAACATAGCATGCATTGCATCGAGATCCTGGTGTCATTCGTATGACAACATGCTGGCAACGACCGTCCAAGGTCTCTTCGTACCTATCCCGAAGAAGCTGTGCACCAAGAGCGAGGGAAAGAGCACGTACTTCAGCAGCATCCATTTTGTGTCAAATACCTTTGTCAGATGGTGTTGATTTGACATTCGAATTACTCACACGAGAGCTCTGTAGCACCACGTCCAACGCATTCCTGTCTCCTCCCTCTCGTACAAGCTGCAGAAGGGGCGTGAATGCATAAATATATGCATTTGTATGCATCAGTAGTCTTAATGACAACATTATTTCTATAGTGCGCATTGTCTTCGACCCTGGGGTGCTCGCCGGCACTACCTACCTGTAGACTCTGGGCAGCAACAAGAGCACCAAGAAGAAGGCAGCAAAAAGAAATCCATAGATACACAGAGTAACATTGTTCCGAGAGTAGCCTCTTCTCCCTTGACACAACACCGCTGATGTGACGGCAACCATTAGTTACTCGAAAATGCTACCACAAATTAAACTTAAAATCAGTTTTGTAGAGCTCACAATGGCTTACACCAAGCAAACTAAAAAGAGGAGCTGGCCACAGAAGCAGGCCAAACCACGATGCAGTGGCGATTCCTGCGGTTGCAAATGCGCAGAAAGCTGCATATTTTTCGTCAGCGTGCTGCGTCCAAGGTAAATAAAGAAGGAAAAGGAAGGTACAATGAAGCAATTCGAACATCGAGAAGGACAACCAACCAAATTAGATGGTTCAAGATCTCTGTTTCACGAACAGCGAGGGGTCATGACACCAAATGCCTGAAACGGTTTAGCCACTTTTTCAACTCGAATTATATAACAGCAGACCTAAAACAGCTGTTTCCAATGATTAGAAGGCATCACCTCAATCTGTTGAGTCGTTGTTGGGGCCGAACCATCTACGGACTGTTGTATGCATTTCCTCCTTCTCGGCAGCACATGAAACAAAGTGTCCTACAACAAAGAACTGCCAAATTCATATTCCTTGCTACAATGAAAGCTAAACAAACAAGAACAGAATGCAACAATGAGTCGAAACATAGTCGGCCGAAATTGTGTGCGCCTTTCCGATGAATGGGTCGCCGTAAGCCCATAGCGGCGTAGCTCCCGACGCCTGGGGACTGTGAAAGTAGGCGCCCTCCCATGATTTGCAACGCACCGTTATGCACCCCAATGTGGAGGGAACATCTATATACAAGCACAAACAAGCCTTCTTGGCTGCATGTACAAAAATTGTAGAGAGTGTTGAAAACTTTGCTTCTGTACCGATTGTCAACTTGGGCCGGGTACGGTGCGCACACCCAAGGACTACCTATCAGCGCACACAATGCGCTACTTTTCATGTACCACATCAGAAGAACTGCCTAACAGCGCACACAATGCGCTACTTTTCAACCCTGCACTATCCCACAAACAGGGCAGATCTTGGCCCTTAAGATGTCTGCATTGGCATGTTTTTTCCTCCTTGGGCTGCTTAGATTCGGGTGGTTTTTCTGCTCCCCCCACTTCGTGTCCGTCCGGCAACTCATCCAACACCTATCCAATGAGTTGCCTGCTGAAGCTGCTGAATACCCGGTGTTGCTGGGGCTACCCAGGAATACCCGACGGCGTGTAAAAACACCAGCCCCGTGCTGAAGTCTAATACTGTAGAATTCGGTTGCTGGGTTAGCACTTTTCCTGGTAACAAGCAGACAATGCATTGAATCATTCAAATAAGCATTCAATGCATTGTCTGCGGGTTACCAGGAAAAGTGGAAATAAGCAAACGTGCGCCTCGTCGGCCGTTCCCAGCTTCGCATAATGTCCAGACGAGCGACCCTGATCTACGCATGGTTGAAAGAAGTTCACTTTAGGTAGAGCTGGGAAGCTAGATCACATAAAATGGACTCGTTGGCACCATTGGGGTCTCCTGTGTTGTGACACCGGCAACGACTGCTGAATACCTATAGAACTCCAAACACGCTGCAGTTTTTACGCCGGCGCCTGCATTGGTCGCCGAAGCATATATCGCAAAAGTTGCAGTATTGGCCCATTCCGTACAACGGGGCTTATCGAACCACTCCTGTCAGATATTGTGTCGCAAACGCTGAAACTGCCATCCACCAAAGTTGTATTTAAAGACGTAATACTCCTATATAGTAATAATTTTAATTTTTTTATCTAGATATCTAAAAAGGCCTACCTGGTGCCCAAGTAGTGACTAGGTATTGCGCTACACTGCCGATAGTGGTAGCTGGCTGGGTAATCCTACAAGCCTGCGGCTCTACAGCACTCGATTCTTAGAACATTCGGCGGTATTAATTCCCTTTCTTAGTTGCTAATGCCATAATCATTCTCTTTATGATCAATGATCTACTAGAGATGACACCTGTAGTGCCTGTGCACTACAGTGAGTGTAGTGCGTAGCTGGCCAAAGGTGCCACTACGTGGGATTCCTGTCTATAGCGCATAGGTGCACGCACTATATTCAAAACCCCTATTCTACGATTATCGCTGCAAACTCTAATAAACTCAGTTAACAACCAAATTTATTATCGAGTACATATTATTGTTCGGGAAGAAAACCCGGAATAATAGAACTGATGCCCGACCCTAGGGCCCGGGCCTGGGCCCTAGCGCCGGCCTCACAGCCAGCCCCGAGCTAGGTGCCGACCGGCGAGCACCCCGATCACATTAGGCTGTTTCGCCTATCTAAAAGTGTCTTAATCCATGATATATTGCATAGGATTCATCCCTTTCCATGATATCAGGCCTCTAGATGGTACGCCTGACCTCCATTGTAGTGCGTGTGCACTACAGTGAGGGTCTAGCGAAATCAATCTTCTCTGCCTGCCTGGGTTCACACATCTTCCAAGCATATTAAGCTGAGGTTTTGGCCTTTATCGAACCCCTTCTAGCCCAGCTGACCTGCAGACACGCACCACATTGTTATCCGACTGGCAAATTTTCATGTTGATCAGTACCGGTATACTATGCTGATCAAACGCTGACACATTTCGTGAAAGCCTTCATGAGGGGAACGCAAAAGGTACTTGAAAACCTTTTTGAAGATATCCTAAAGAATATTCTCGATGAGCGAACGGGCGGCAGAGTTCAACGAATGAAACACTCCAGTTCTACAGTGTTTCTCCCTCCCCGTAGGTTCTGTAGTTGGGAACACCAACGCAAGCAAGCGCTAATAGTTCAGACTTTAAATATATAGAACACAGGGTCTGATTTAAAATCGAAATCGTTACGTGTTCGAGTGCAAGGTTTAGAGCTTATGGTCCGGTGACTCTTGAATATATTAGGGCAGTCTGTTGAATAACATTCCCCATTGTGTCTTGCCATGCAGCATGCACGCGCACTGTGGAGGATTACGGGAATCTCATTTCGCCTCTGCCTTTGCCTTCCGTGGGAATTCCGTGTGCGTCATCCTCCTTGTTTTGTTTTATTAGTCTAATTTATCCACTTTTAGCGTCTGTCCCTATGATGTTAGTTTCCGAGTTTCCTTTTTCCCTTCAGATGAAGAATTCACTGCTGTCCTTCCAAGAAGCCGTCAAAGGCTTCAGGACAGTGCGACAATGTGAGCTGCGGGGCCTAAACGAAACCGCCGACTTGTGAGTTCGTTTGAATAACACTCTCTCACGGTGAATAAAAAGCTACCTCTATGGGAATTTGGAAAACAAACTGCATGCGATCAGCAATTACCCACGTATTACTTGTTCATCATGTAAGTAGTGTGCTCTGTCGCAGACTACCTATGATAAATAATTTGTACTCCGTATGTGTGTAGTTCACTATGAATGCACGGAACCCAATGGAATCACGTATATGAACAACAAATTGCTTGTGATGACTGGCAAACGATTTTGTGATGAAATGTAAACCATTGAATAACCCACCGTTTACCTAATTCATTGCAAACATTGGCATTTTACGTTGTATGAACGAGCGCTCTGGTGCCCTTCAGTTTACGCGAATTTCTCCTCTTTGCAAAGGACAAGGAAATAATAAATGATGCGTTTAAAGCTGCTGCAGCAGAGGCCGACGAGTTCGGTGATATCCCGTCGTGTTGCTTGCCGGTGAGTGTACATAATATATTTATATGCGTAAAATATGCATGTGAGAACCTCCGCACATACTGATGTGTTGGAATGCATATATGCCTTCATGTTCTGGGAGAAAGCAGGCGAGTGCGACTGGTGCAGCATTGTGGTGCCAGCCGTTTAAGCTCTCATATTCCTTTTTTAGCTGCGGCGCAGCGCTTTATATTGCCTCACAAATTATGGCTTTATTATTTTTCTTGGTGTCCCGTCTCCTGTGTCTCCTGACGTACAGAGGGCCTTGTACTTGTCTTCCTTGCTGCGTCGCGGAGATTTCTTCGGGGTGTATCCGGAGATATGCAGCGACTGCCACCACATGTAAGCTGGACGCTACCGGCTATGGTTTGAGGTTTTGCGTTTTAGGGCCTGGCGTTGGCTTTCTAATGCCTAGGGGTTGGCCGGGTTGGGAAAACACCTTGCAAAAATGAATCCAACAACAAGCATCTGCTGTTTGATATGCTGATAAAGCTAACGTATATGCGTGAATGAGTTTCATATAGACTTTGGTGCTTTTGTACATAGCCAGTCTTCAGTACACCGGGGAAGTTGGTCACATTACATATTCTTTTGTGCTAGTAATGCAATTTGTTTGGTATAGTTTCTAGTGCAAACCATCATGCATATATCTTCGTGTGGGTACATGCATTTGAATCCAGATAAGTAGAATCTATTTGTACTCATGCATACGCCTACAGACTAGGCTTTATTTAAGTGTATGCATGCGGGGGGATGTAGAGGTTTATAAACAACTTCGAGCATGCATGTGAGTACGCACTGCAGAGAAGAGCCGGAAGCATTGCCTCCTTTGTTGCTGTTTTGCCAGTTGTACTTGGATTTAAGCAAACAACAAACAAAAGCAGCACATCTCGTCGCCGTTGGGGGGCGTGCACAAGTGCGTATTCCCCAGACCTTCTTGTGGAGAATTTGTTTTAGGGATTTTGGCTTCCGCTGGGTGCTCCAGCTGGGTGTGTATTACCTGTACCTGCTTATGCACGTATGCAAGGTGACGTTTTGGTTATACATGCATTTTACAGTATGTGCACTTGCTAATGGCTATATTGATGCGCGTTAATGCAACTGTACTAGAAAGTGTTCATGGCTTGATTTGCTCTCAGCTTCAGATTATAGGGTTAAGGGTTTAGAGTTTGTGCTTGCCGTGTAGAACACCATTTCGGGATTGAAGGCCGGGGGTTTGAAGATTGCCCTTCTTAGGGTTGGTGAAGTCCTGGAGGGTTTGGCACAGCAGCGGCGGCTCGATGCCTTCTGCTGGTGGCTGCTAGCGTCCATAAGAAGAGGTAATTAGAAGCAGGGCTTTAATTGGGGCAACAGCTTAGGATTTAGGATTCGGAGTTTCAGCAGCAACTCCTTCTCCTCGCAGTGGATTTAGGATTCGGAGTTTCAGCAGCAACTCCTTCTCCTCTGCAGGTGCCTGCTCGCCTGCGTTCGGAGAGGTGGTGAAAGCAACGGTTTTCGCGGGGGTTAAAATTTAGGGTTGAGTTGCTGGTGCTGGTGCTACCACTGTTTCTGTTGCATGTGCGATGCAGCTCAGCAACGCGCTTCGGAGGCGATTGCTGCTCTGCTCGAGTGTATACGAATATGTCCGTCGTTTGCTGCGGCGTGGGAAGACCTAACGGAAGTATTAGCAGCACAAGTGTTTTCTCCTGGGCGAGCGCACAGCCCGCTCCCCTGGGCAGGGCCGGACTCAGCAGCAGCACCCGCAGCTGCTGCAGCAGCTGCTTTGGTGGGGGCTGCGGTTCGGCCTGTTGTGTCTGGGGCTTCTGGGGAAGGTGCCTCTGCACCGGCAGCAGACGAACGACAGAGGAAGAACGACGGAGCTAGCCAAAACCAGCAACAGCAGCATGAACAGCATTCAATGCAGACCGATACGCATCCCGCTTGCAACCAGGACGTTGCCAGTAGCGACACCCTTAGCAGTAGTAGCAGCAGCAGCGGCGTTGATGCCTCAGAAGTTCTGCAGCAGGAAGAGCGCCAGAGGCGGGGCTTGGCTGGGGCAGAAGGCACTCGGGGCAAATGCGTTATTTCAGCAGCAGCACAAGCAGCAGCAGCAGCAATAGCAGCGGAAGGGGAAGCAGCTGATGAAACAACAACAACAGCAACAACAAGAACAACAACAACAAAAACAGCAGCAGTGGTCACTAGCCCGACAGCGGATGGGTGCCACAGCCATTCCACAACAGTATGTTGTTATGTTTTAGGGCTTAGGGTTTATGGTGCATATGCGCCTAGATTTTGTGTCGAAAACGTTAAGGCATAGGCGCCGCGTGTGCACAGACAAGCTCTAAGCCCTAGTGGCTGAGTGTCCTGTGATTCCTAGATATAGCCCGGCCTAAACCCTAATTGCGACATTAGGGTTTAGGGTTTTGTTTGTGTGCACATACTTTTGGGGTTCTGCGTTCCGCATGTGTTTACAGCAACCTTGGAATCTTTTGTTTCCCGAGGAACTCTTGAAGATGAACTGCAACGAGTTTCTTGCTGCTTTGGGTCTCAGCGATTCAGGGGTGTATGGACGGCTTTATTTTGCTTTGTTTTGTGTAAAAACGAACAATTTCGTTATAGCAGCTAAACATCTTTCGGACCTCCTTACTGCTTTCCCCAGTTCTCCCTTTTTGCTCTCGCACGTACGAAGGGATGATCCTCTTTGATTTATCTTTGTGCGTGTGTTTTGTGTTGCTCGGTTTGGTCGTTCTTTATTGTTGCCCCATTAGTTTTGCTTTTTTCTTTCTTTTGTGTCTGTATTTACATGTTGGCTTGCTGTTGCTTTGTTTGTTTGTTCGTCGCCACTTCATGTATTGCACTTGTTTTTCAGCTCTCTTTATTGTTTACCCCCCCCCCCCCCCCCCCCCCCCCCT